GATTGGGCCAGTGTTCTTACTCTGAAAGACTGGTTCTCAGGGTATTCTTTTCTTTCTGCCCTGGCAAGATGTGAATCACATCGTTAGAAGAACATTGCCTCTTTGGGAACAGCCAGGACACAGTTGCTGTGTCCCTGGTTGTTTACAGCTGTGCCCATAAAGACCATCATGGGGGACTGTCAAAACCCACTAGCCAAAACTGTAGGGGTCATGCTTCAATTGTTCAATAGCTACAGGGAGTTCATAGATATCATATCGGACAGAGCAGATAGAGAGCATTTTTCATCACCACAGTTGGACAAGCTCACAAGTTCATTGCATTCTGCCCAAAGTGACAAACTTCTTGGTGTCGGAGGGCTGTTGTGCAATAACTATGAGGAGGCCCAACCTTAGCAGCAGCTGTCAGTTCAGACCCAGTTTGGCTCTTTACAGTTCAGATGAGCTAATTCATTTAGCCTTCATCAGATGTTACTTTATGCCTGTTTTACAGATCAGGAAGCTAAGGCCTAAAGTTCCACAGCTACAGTTACCTGTGGAAGCTGCTAATCAAACTCTTTTTCTTTCTCATGGACAGGAGTAGATTATTTTTTCAGGTTCCCTTGGGGGTAGTTTTGGCCATGTGACTAAGCGCTGATCAAGGTAACATAGGCTGGTCTCCAAAAGCACCCAGTTGATTCTGTATGCTGTTTGTCTTTTTTCTCTATCCAGTAGCTAAACAGAATTTCAAAGGACTCAAGGAGGGCAGAGCCACAGGAAGAAAGGCGCCTGCATCCCTGCATGACTGTGTGGAGCAGAGACTTTTCCTAGCCTTCTGTGAACTGTGAAATGAGCAACAGCATAAATTATTATGCTAATTGCTGAAATGTGGGAGCTGTGTATTGAAATAGCAAGTCTACCCTGACCAATGCAATAGCACGGAGAGGATTTAAGCCCTAAGTCTGACTCTGCTAATGTTCAGTCTTCCCCTCCTCTAGGCACAACAAATATGACTCCCTTATGAGAATATCCTAAATGGTCAGCATTTGATGGACCTGTCTTTCAGTATCTCACATCTTAGATTTGTGCTCTCTGATATGATAGCCACTGGCCACATGGGACTGTTTAATAAAATTATATATTTGGTTTCTTAACTGTAGGGGTCATGCTTCAGTTGTTCAATAGCTACATGGAGTTCATAGTTACCATATCGATCAGAGCAGAGAGAGAACATTTTCATCACCACAGAAAGTTAAGCTGGACAATGCTGTCTTAGGCAGACCTGAATTCACAGTGCACCCTTCCTCAGAACCCCAGAGGAAAACTGAAGTTGAGGGCCCTGCTCCCAAGAGCCCTCAGTGAGGTTGTCCTGAGTGTAAAGCTTTCTTTCTTGCCTCTGGGGCCTTTGTCCTCACCTTTGCCAGTGAGTCTTCTGGCTATAATCTTATGTTCTTCTGAATTAGCTGGTAATAGACTTCAGATATGACTTCTTCAAGCAGAAAGAGCCCTGGCTGCCCAAATGGCCCATGTCACCTAGAAGCAGGACTAGTACTTCGTTCCCACCTTTGTTCCTCTGCCCTTCTTCCCCACCTCTGCTCATCTAACACCTATGTGGAGGCCTTCTTTTCACACCTCCCCACCCCTCCCTGCAAAGGACATTTCCACACTTCTCAGCCTGTTCAGAGAGAACAGCAAGTGTTCTCGGGGCAGAAATCAAAAGCAGACCACAATGGGAGGCTTGTTCAAGAGACAGATCCTTCTGAATCCCTCTAATGCTAAGCCTTGTTCACCTTCCCCTCATGATACGTGCATGTACTTGCACACACATACATACACACTCACACTTTTTCCATCTTCTTAATTTCTCTGCAGAGTCACTAGAGAGGAAAGTGGATTCTTGTATATCTCTCACAAGTTGTGATGTCCAGAAACCTCTGCTCCTTGACCCCAACCAACTACTTAAAATTTCACTGTGTCTATAGCTGCACCCTGCCCACCTCCTTCCACTGGCCTTTACCTGACATACAAAGTCAGGTGTAGTGGTTATGATTTATGTTGGGGCTGAGACGAGCTGAGGGTCTTCCCTTCCCTTGATTATTTTCATGGGGACCAGAGCAGATCCAGGCAGTGACTCCAACTCCCTAGACAACATCACAATAAATTGCTGCCGCAGCTCTTCTATAGCTCATAACTAGTAAATCAAATCTATTGAACAATACATTTACTGCAAATTTAAGAAGTTGTTCTTCCATTTTTTAAGTGTACGTGTTAAATCATACTCAGAGTCATAAAGAAAGGAGACACTCTGCCTTAGTGTGAGGAAAAAAACAACAAAAGCAGCCACATGCTTAAAGCACTCAGAATACTGCTTGTCCTTTGTTATTAAAGACCCTTTCTGATGGATCCCTGGAGCTTCCTCCCTCCCAGGCAGACTGGCATCTCCAAAGTCTCATCCTGACTTCCTAACTAATGCTGAGGTTGGTTTTGCAAATACAGGTTCACTATTTACAGGGTCCCTTTTGTTCCAGATGCCTGAAAGTGGGGAGGAAAGGAAACAGACAAGAGCCCTGTTAGTGAACTACAACACTGATGGGATGGTGATGAGGGACCAGAGGGCATGAATCAGGGCTGTCCTTCCCTAGGGAAGCTTCTTTTAGTCCCCACTTCATCCTTTCCAAATGCTACTGAGTGAAAGGCAGGCCCCGCCTCAGGATACCTTGAGAGTGCTTTGTGTATCCTGCATGCTCTGCCCCCTCCATACCAACAGGAGACCTGGCATGCAGGGGTGGGATGGTGAGATGGCTTAGCGCGTGCATAAACGCACTTGTAGCCAAATACGATCAAACCTGGGTTTGATCCTGGGGAATTCACTTGGTGGGAGGACAGAACCTACCCCACAAAATTGTCCTTTGGCTTCCGCATGCTCGCTGTGGTGTGTGCCCTGTCCCATCAATCAATCAGTCAGTGTAAAAAAATAAACAATTCATCCATCCCTCTAACATACACTTACTAATTACTATGCTCTATGCATACTGGTGAGCAAGATAGGAGGCCCAGCCTTCTTGGAACAGAGCTCATGACAAAGAGAAGGCCAGGTATGAGTCTACACTCTGAATGGATGCTTAGGTTTACTAAAAACCTCACTGAAGGGTCAGTGACGACTGGGGGGTAAAGAGATGTTCATTTTACAAATTCTCTGTGTGTATGTGTGTTTGGAGTGTGCTTGTTTGTGTGTGTGTGTATATATGTGTGTGGGTGTGTATGCACATACATATGTGTGGAGGTCAGAGGTCAAGTTTGGATGTTTTCTTTGCTCTCCATCTTGATTTTTTTTTTTTTTTAGGACAAGGTCTCTTGCTGAACCTGGAGTTAATCAATTTGACTAGGCTGGCAGCCAGTGAGCTTCAGAGACCCACCTGTCTCTACCCTCCCACCCCTTAGCACTGGTGATACAGATATGTGCCACTGTGCCCTACTTTTATGTGGGTGCTAGGGCTCTAAGCTCAGGTCCTCACACTTGAGAAGTAGGCACTTTACTAACTAAGCCATCTTCCCAGCCCTGGAATTACAAATTCTCAACAATCCAATGAAGCATGTCTATTCCTGTTCCCAGTTTTTAGATGAGGAATTGAAAACATCACCTAATTGTGGTAGTGATGGAGCTTGTGTGATTGGGGTGTGCCTGGACTCTAGGGAAGCTTGTGGCACAGCCAGAGAAGCTTCCCTGGAAGATACGGCATCTGAGCTGAGTCCAGAATGGAGGCAGGAATTGGGATGGCATAAGTGCCAGGGAGAGTAGACACTGAGGAGTAAGCAGGACACAGCAGGGCAAAGGCTGGCAAGACCTGTGGGGTCTCAGGTGCCAGTGGAGGAATTGGATCCCATCCCGCAGGCCATGGGGAATTACTCAGGGCTTCAGGCAGATGCATAGTTTGGTCAGATCTGTCTGTGCTCACAATCCTATTTTGGCCCACTTGTGTGGAGGATGGATTTGAGGAGGGCTAGACAGGAAGCAGGGGGACCAATTAGCAGGCTCTTGCAACATTCTAGGAGAGAATTGATGGGGACCTCACCTATTGCAGATGGACAAGTGAGGCATGAGAGAAATATGTGGAAAATAAAAATAAGCAGAACTCTGATTGGTTGGATATAGAGTAGCACAAAAGGGCCCAGGGCAGGCTGTGTTGGGGGCAGATGATGACGCTTGTATTGGGCATATAAATGCGATGCACAGCTGATCGGCATGGGGTGAGGGATAGCTGTGGCTTCTTCTCTGGGAAGGAGGGAGGGAGGAAAAGAGGGAAATTACAGTTCTGTCTTAGTGCTTTCCAGCCAGGTTGTTGGTGCTGGACTGGAAGAAGCTGTCAGCTATGGACATTTAAGACCCAAGAGCAAAGCAAACCTTCAGAAACCAGCTAGGGTTAACCTAAAACAAGCTCAACAACTCCCTTGACTTCAAGCGGGGGAGGTGTGGGGAGGAGAGAATTTTTAAAATGAAACTGAACAAATCCCAGCATAGCAGGCCGCACTATCTGGAGGCTTAGAATGGCTGATCGTTTGAGAGATAAGAAGAGAGATTAACTCTTGGATCTCATCCTTCATCATTCTATCCTTTCCCTTATTGACCCCCAACATCACACATATGAGCATGCACACACACACACACACACACACACACACACACACACACACACATATTCAGATGTGTATGTGCTTTGTCATCTCTAAACATCTCGCCTCCCTCTGCACAGCAGGCCTTTCACACTTCCTCTTTGTAACCTGCTGTTCTTTCTGCATGTACCTCTCCCTCCCAGTTCTCCAGTGGGCAGAATTATAGTCTAAATCCAGATACGGGGCGTCGCTGATGCCTGGCCCCATTGTTCCATGTAGAGATTAGTTGTTCTGTCCTGAGTGTCCTTATTATACTCCCCCCAACCAAATATTACCACATATTGTGTCTCTCTGAGGTGTTCCTTTGCTGCCAAGCTGAGCTCCTGAAGTCTTATTTGTCTTGCTGTCCCCAGCAACTAGTGTAAGATCTGGTTCATCACCAGAGTTCAACAACTGTTGGAGGAATGAAAGAGCACAGCCCCCAGAGGAGGACCGTGGTACACCTTCACCAGCTTTGGCTTTATTGAAGAGTGTCACCTTTGTTCTCCTGATGTGCACACGCCACATGAGAAATAAAGCTGGCATACACAGGAGACAAAGCCATAAAAGCAGTGTCCGACTTCACCTCCCATGCTGTGAGTAGGTATGTGTTTCTCTGAGATTGGTCTTTATTTTATTCCCACCTTATGGAGCAGGGTTCAGCCTTTGCAAAGGTCAGTAGCTCTTCTGTGCTGAAATGATCACACACTTGTCAGGTGGCTCAGCTTTCCATTACATAGCAAATGCTTGAGGTGACCAACTTGTAATGGACAAAGGTTTGCTTTGGCCCACAGTTTCACGTGTTTTACTCCATGCATGGTTAGTCTAGCTGTGTTTGGACCTGTGGAGGCAGTACACCATGGCAGAGACAAACCTACTTCCTTCATGACCAGGAAAAAGAAGAAGCAAAGAAGAGGCTGGGTTCCGCTGTGCTCTTCCAGGGTATGCTGCAGGAGACTGGAGGACCTCCCACTAGAACCCCACCTTCGAAAAAATGAATATTTGGTAACTTTAATCTGGATTTCATCTACATGTATCTTTGGACTAAGATGAGTTTGGGGGCTGGAGTCGGCTCAGTGGTTAAGAGCACTGACTGCTCTTTCTGAGGACTGGGGTTCAATTCCCAGCACCCACATCATGGCTAACAACTGTCCTAACACCAGTTCCAAACGATCCAATTCCCTCTTCTGACATCTGCGGGCATTGTACAACACAGGTGCAATATACTCAAACACATAAAATAAAAATAATTTAAAAAAATAAAATAAAAGTTGACTTTTTCGTGAATTTATCATACGCATTATTTTACTTTTTTCAATATTTTAAAAATATTTTTATTGAGTTTTTGTGCATTTCACATAATAGAACTTAATCAGATTTAGAACCCCTCCCCAATCTGTGCCCCCACCAGATTTCATGCATTCTGTCATATATGTTAAGTCCTTTCCAGTCAAGCATTTGTACCCAGATGCTTCAGTGCAAGTTCATCACTGGCGTCTAGTCAGCCATCTAGAGTCTCTCCCTTAAAGAAGATCTGCTCTTTCTCACCCAGCAGTAATCCCTGTTCCTGAAGACAGGGCATACTTTGGACACAGGACTTGGAGTAAGGTAGCTGGTACTGACCTGGAAACCTTTTCCCTGAATGAAGACTAGCTCTCACAGTTCTAGAGGATACTATGCAAGCTGATAAGGGAGAAAAATCAATCAGTGGTTCAACCCAACTCTAAAATCTAATAACCACAATGACTGGCACAGCAAACCATCTCTATTGGAGTCGTAGTGGCACTTTTATCTAGCGGGTAATCAACAGCTACCTAATTGAACTTAAAGTCTTCTCAATGAGAGGGAATTCATGGGTGGTACTGTAAATATAGCCAAATACACATGACTGGAGAAGTCATAGATTCTAGAAAGAACCCTATTTCTGTCATATCTCTAGACAAATGAAATTTCTTACTGTATACTAAATATGGATCTTTATATTTAAAGACAAGTATACCATACACCACTCATCAAAGAAGCTTCTTTCTGTAACAGATGGAATCTATTGCAAAATAGCCACAACTGGCCAAACACAGAGCATATATGTCTGAGAAATGCTCAGCACTAGGAGCCATCCATAGTGGAACCTGTACATCTAAGGCTCCTGGAGCATAGTGGAACAGGGGATAGAGAAAATACTAGAACCCCACTCTTAATGGCTCCACCACTTCCAATAGGACCTTTCTGGGGACCAAGCTTCTACTTAAGGCCTTGGGATATAGCACTTGCTTAACACATTTGTAGGGACAGGGGCAGGTGAATGAGACCACCAACCACTTGGGTTCTGTCCTTACAGAGATGTCTCAGGGTGACCACAGGTGACAGGTCCAGATAGGGGCCCCAGAGAGTAAGGCCTCCAATCATGTGCAGCCCTCTGGGTTTCCGGCTGGCTTCTGGAGCAGGAAGGAACTGATCACCATGAGTCAACTTGTCAGCAGTGGGAAGTTCTCTGCCTGCTTCAGGCTGGGTAGTGATGGCCAGCCACAGTAAACAGACAAGGACCAAGAGGAGCTGGAGTCTGGAATCTTCTTCATTGTGGGGAAGTTAATAAGAGCAGTGACAGGATGGCGGTAGCACACGCCTGTCTAGCATTCACCACGGGCCACACACAGGGCTAAGGCTATTTCTGTCCTGACAACACTCTTGAAGTAGGTTCTGTCATCTCATAGATCAGATGAAAAGTACAGATGCAGCAAAGTTCACCAGTTTGCTTGAGGTCGCTTAGAGGGGCCGGGATTTTAAACTCTGGGTTTGACTCTGAGGTGCCTACTCTTTTGTAAAATATTTTATTACATTTTAAAATGTTTATTTTATGTACATGCATGCATGTGCCACAGCTCATGTGTCAGAAGACACCTTGAAGGGAAACTGACATACATGACAAACAGCAAAGGTGGAAGGCAAATCGTGGGGCCTACGAGTATGAAACTGGCAGATCCTTCCTGACAGGTGGCATCACTGCCCTGCCTGGGCCTCTTCATCTTTTATTCTGCTGCTTCACTCCTTTTAATGTATATTTTCTCCCTTTACCATGTGGGTTCCAGACATCAAACTCAAGGCATCAGGCTTGGCAGCAATTGCTTTTACCAGCTGAAACATGTCCCAGGCCAGGAAGCTCCAACTCTTAAATTCCACACTGCGGAGAGGTGCAGTAGGCAGTTCAGTCTCCTGACCATCCACGGAAAGACACCCAAGAAAGCAAGAGGCCAGCACTTGCTCAATGCTGTAAGTCCATATCAGGTAGGGATAATAGAAGCCTCCTCCTGGTTAGGTAAGAGCTCTCTCGAGTCCCTCAAAGTCTAGGTGAATTGTGGTGTGCTGTGTAGACAAGCTGGGGTGCCTCTTCTCTCCCCTAGCCCCTGGTCTGTCAGCAGGGCCTTAGGATCACTGCTTCTCTGGGATGCCCAGATTGCTGCTATCTGGAGCCTAATCTCCATGCTGGTGGTTTTGGTTGCTATGGTAATTGAATTCCCTTAAAGTTGTCTCCAAGCTAGACTGTCTACCTCTGCCTGTCTGCAACCTGGAAGGGTACCCAGTGCTAAGGGTAAGAAGGAGGGAGAATTGGTGCCTCAGGGATTCTGTGCTTTTTCTAATCTAGAGGTCCTCCTTGGAGGCAAACAGAAGAGAGACTCATGGAGAAATGCTCTTTCCAGGTCTCTCCATTTTCCTCCCTGCTACTACCTTCATTCGCTCTCTTCCATGCAGAAAAACATGGCCTAGCAACAGTGGAGAGCACTCCGAGAGCATCTTGCTTCCTTGATGCTCAGTTAGTCACTCAGCAAACACTGAGAGTTCACTGTATTCTGGGCACTGCTGCTTGTCTCTGGATGCAGGAGTTTCTCTGGGAACAGCTAAGCATCCAGAGCTATAGGACACATTCCCAAATGGCACATTTCCCTGTGGCTAGTGCTCTGAGATTCTGAAGAATGAGCAGCTAGAGGAAGACCCTCATGAGGAGAATGGTGGTTGTGGGGGAATTTCCCCTTTCCCCTTTCTCTAGATGGAGACTCATCATGCAGCCCAGACTGCCAAGAACATGGAGAGGGAACAGACGGTCTCAGGCCATAGCAGTAGAATGGAACCATCCATCAGTCAGGGGACTTGAGGGGCAACTCAGACTCATTCCCTCCACCATCTTATTGCAGAGAAACTGACATCCAACAGCAAGGGTGAAAGCCAGAGTCACAGGGCCTGAGGCTGTGTGAGATTGGCAGATCTTCCTTCACCATCACCCTCTGCCTGGGTTCTAAGGAGTGGAAATAAGTAGGTTGCTGTAGATGAAAGGTAGTTGCATATTTTCAAAACTCTGGCTTTTCACGATAGTTAGATGAAACTAGCAATAAAAAGTATAAAGCTTCAACTATGTGTCAAGACTCAGCTTGTGAGGGCTGACAGGCAACAATAACATTGAGAAGTCACAACTGGGGAGGAAGACATGTAAGGAATACAAAGGGATGGGCACTACAACTCTGGCAAGGGCAGCATGGTCTGGAAGCCCAGTACTAGGAGAGAAGGGAAGGGGTGTTTGGGAAGAATATAAAGAAAGGCATGTGGACTTGCATTGGTGAGGGTAAGGAGGGGTTCCAAAACAAAGTCACTTGCACAGACAAGGATGAGAGCCAACACTCAGACGTGTGACTGTGAACATGTCTAATGGTAGAACAGGCTGAGCAAGGAGCATGGCCGGAAACGAGGCAAGTGGGAAAGGCCAGATGCTAGAACGCCAATTTGGGGTCTTGTCCAAGCAGTAGCCAGAGACTCTTCAGTGAAAGAGCCCTGAATTAGCAAAACAACACTGGCAGTAATGACAATGGTGGATAGAAGTGGGAGGAGGGGAAAGAGTATGGGGCTGAGCTAGAACAAAGCCCACCCAAGAATGGGCAGCAGCAGAAACGGGCTGCTGGATTGTGCTAGATGAAGGAACAGGTGCAGTTAAGAATGGGAAAAAACTGAAATTAGGAGCCCCAGACATCAGCCTGGGAGTTCTGTTGGGACACGTGAATGAGGTGTCTGGAATATTCAAAGTCAAGTGCCTGATGGGCAGACAGTGAATTTCTAGAACTGGAGATGAGGTATAGACATGGGAATTGACAGCATAGAGGTGGCAGCTGTGGGAAACCATACTGCCCAGGAGCAAGGCAAGGAGCAGGGATGTAAGAGAAGACAAAGCCAGCTCCTGTGTCTTTCTAGCAGGTAAGGAAGAAGCCTGGAGTCTGGGGTGAGTGGGAGAAAGCAGATTTGCTGAGGGTGTGGTCATTAGCCAAGATGCCACTGAAAGAAAGTTGTACAAAGGTGGCTTAGAATGGGGGCTTTTAAAAGCGAGAGTACTTAAGAATTTCTGGACTGAGTGGTAGGGCCCTGCCCCTACTAGGTGGGGCCTAGGAATTTGCATGTCTAGCAAATGTTAAGTTGATGTTGGGGATCTGGGAGGCACACTGTGTGAGCTACTGGTCTAGACTGCCAAATCTATACTTGAGAAGGTTCAAATATCAAATTCACCCCTTCCTTATTGTGACTCAAGTTTGACATGGTGACTGAAGTCAGCTGGGCTTTGGTTACAGAGCAGAGACACAAAAAGAAGGGTGTAGCCTGTGAACAAGCCCCTTGAAAATTAAATGGAGGCTACAGAGAACAGGAGGAAGAGGAAGAGGGGAGATGCCAGAGGGTTGCTACAGGAAGGACAGGGCACAGGAATGTGATGGCAACAAGACCAGTGGCCTTGACAGCAGCTGTGACTGTAGGTCATTTGAAGTGGACCATGGTGAGCTGAACAGATAGCCTGACAACTGAAACCAGCCTTGGAGCTTTGTTTGACATTCTGGCCAAATGTCTGGGTCTTCTTCCAAGAGAATCTCTCCCCACTTCCCCATCTTTCTAGAGCTATTGCCAGCCTCTGGGTCTTGGCCTTCCCAAGCTGAACAGACACAGCTATCTTATATCATGGGCCATTATGCATAGGAGTTGCTCTGAGCTCAGGAAGAGCAGGCACTTTTTCCATTTCGCGTCCAACATACCAGATCAGATCCTAACACTGTGGTGAGGAGGCTTCTGACCTCAATGCTAGGCAACCTCCCC